TTGCTAGTTTTCTGTACTGTATACTAAAAATGTTTAAATGAAATTATATACATGTACTATTAATAAGTAACATTTTATATATAACAAGACAATAAGTTGAATTTATATCCTCTGCCGAGTACTGGTTATTACTAAATAAATACAACAACTGAAGACATAAGGCTTTATTTATATATTTATCATGGCGTAAACAGTATATAATATTCTTTGTATATGATAAGTATTTAGGGCAATAATAGAGCCATAACTCCGTGTTAAATAGCAATATCTTGACATAACAATGAGATGTAAATTGCCTTTTTGTATCGATGGTAAAGTTTTGTTGAAATCAATACAGCAGTTGCAAAGAAATAGGAATATTGTTCTATACACACAGCGTAACTAATCAAGGGTCATAACTCTGTAATGAAGGGTCTTGTCTGAACAAGGCAACAAATTATGCATATCTCCTCTTGGGTTTAATGGTTCCCATAAAGTTTAATTGAATTCCAGCCAGTATCATGGCGTAAACAGTAATATTCGTTGTACATGATAAATATTCCGGGCATTAATATAAAGAGCCATAACTCCGTGTTAAATAGTAATCATGAGTTGTAAATTGCCTTTTTGTATCGATGGTCCCCGTTATGCAGCTATATATGAAGATTTGGGAAGATATCCATTGTATATAAACCGCTATGTTAGGGTACTAAAATACCTTTTGAAATTAGCTCGAGTGATAGATAGATACTTTTATTTCCTCCACACGGGAGAGCATAGAATTACAAGATCTGTTTATAAAATGAGCGCTAACGACTGTAATAATGGTTATACAAATTGTGTTTCTCATGTTAAGAGGATGTTAGATAATTACGGATTCTCACATGTATTTGAGAACCCTAGTTCTGTAAATGTTAACGCATTTACATGTATTTGTGAATTTAAATGTAGATTGATTGATACTTTTAAGCAAGAATGGTATGGAAATATTAACACAAACTCTACAAAAATAAAATAAATTATGTATGAAAATAATATAGATTTGAACTGTCTGTATAAAATACAAAATAAAAAGATTCCTTATATTTAATTGGTCAGTAATACATAAGTTTTCTCAACAAATTCGATTACTAGATCTAACTGGTCAGCACTGGTCACTATAAAAATTCTGCTAAAATCACTTGAGTAATTGTTACTATAAGTTTTAATTAACATAAGTTTAACTGGTCAGCGTATTCAACTATAGTCCACTGATTCCGCTGGTGGACACAGAGAGACAATGTGTTTCAATGTTGAAAAACACATCTATACCTACTGTTTGTTTTTGTTTTTAAGGGAAAACGTGTAAAGTTTGAATTACCAACTACCTGCTGGTAGGTAGTGGGGGGTTAAAAATTACCAACTACCAGCTAGTAGGTAGTTGGTTATTCGTATATATCAAAATACCAACTACCTACCAAATTTTGACACTCCTTTAGGTTTTTATCAGTATTTTACATGGGGCCATTTTTGGTGATTGGTGAACATAGCGCTTTTCTATTTCTTAAAGATAGTAAATAAATATGATTAAATACATATAAAAAAATTTAAGATATATATAGATTCATTAGGTACGCATGTATAGTAGAATCTACTGACCAATTAACCCATTACAGCATAAGCATTTTTTTCATTGAAAAGCCTCTTGTTACACAAGTTCAAATTGCTATATATGAAACTATAAAAAATGCTAAAATACTGATCAAACTTGGCACAAATGTTTACTGGACAATAGCATTTGTATCTTAATTTCCTGTTATCATGGCAACGAAGGGACCTTGTTGTGTTAATTTATTTCATCAAAGCTGTAAGTTCTCAATGGAGTGGGATAGAGTGAAAGACTTTTCAGCGTTAGTTCCACGTTTCCTTAAGATTGAGCCTCTCACAAGTACAATTTTTTCTTAGGGTTTGGTCGGGCGGTAGTCCCCTTTCAAACCACAATGCAGAAGAGGGCAGCCACCCTCTGGCACCCCGATGTGTCTTTTAGACAAGATGGCGGCGCCGAAAAAAGTGAACTTGTCCGCATAGCTCAATCGGTTAGAGCGCCAGATTTGTAATTTCGACATTGTTGGTTCGATTCCCGGGCTGGCCAACTAAAATTTCTAATCAGTCTTTCGGATTAGACTTTAAATCGAGGTCCCGTGTATGAGTTCTTAAAAACTTGGCACGCTAAAGAACTAGGCGAAGCTTCTGGAATTGGGGCATCTTTCGTATTTTTTCTTCTTGTGCGTTGCCGGACTACCTGCTTCTTGATTCAGTCGGTATATAAAATTTAAAGGCAAGTCTTTCAAAGTGTAATGTCAAAAAGAGGAAAAAGTATACAATAATACCGCAACTCATGAAATATTTGTTTTCATACCACTCGATAAAAATAAATCCTGTATTTTTTATCCTCTATATACTTCAAACCAATTAAATATTTTTTGCATCTTTTAAATTTCAACATGACATCAATTTCATCTGAAATATTTCGGTTTTTTTTTTAAAGTTTCTCACAGTTTTTTACGTTTTTCGTGTACTTTATAAAGTATTTACCCCTATCTTTTGATATAAAATCTTACTTTTTATTAATTTAAAACTTTATTTAGACGTTTTTCATTATACAAAAAAGAAAAAGAAACAAAGAAAAAAAAGAAAGAAAAAAGAAAAGAAAAAGCAAGAAAACAAAAATATATTGACAAAAGTAAAATTATTTTCCCATATACCGTCAGCTTATTCGTCAGCAGTCTATAATTGTCCACCGGAAGGCGATAGTCAACAATGCGATAACGCGATGGCAACGATACGATAGTGCGATGACGACAGTGCGATAACGCGATTACGACAATGCGGCAGTGCGATAATGCTATGACGACAATACGATAGTGCGATGACGACAGTGCGATAACGCGATTACGACAATGCGACAGTGCGATAATGCGATGACGACAATGCGATAGTGCGATAGCGACAATACTATAGTGCGATGGCGAAAACGCGATAGTGTTATCGCACTATCATATTGTCGCCATCGCCTTATCGCACTGTCGTCATTGCACTGTTGCCATCGCATTATCGCATTGTAACAATCGCACTATCGCATTGTCGCATTATCGTACTGTAGTCTTTGCATTATCGTACTGTCGCCATCGCACTATCGTATTGTCGTCATCGCACTGTCGTCTTGTCGTCATCGCACTGTCTCATTGAAGTCCTCTGGACTAGAAAGTATAATCATGATGGCCCTAATGGTATTCCGTAGTTAAAACACTCCTCGGATACTTACATATAGATATATAAAGAATTGACTTCTACAGTGGTAAAAATGAAATCGCCTAGTGTACTGCGTATATAAATTGCTCAAGGTGGTCAAAACTGTGCGGGATACAATAAGCAACTGTATTGAGAATAACGTATGAAAATGCAGTTAAACCGATTTTACCATCTTCACGATCATCATAATTTTTATAATCATTTATTTTCAGATAAACAGGGAAAGTGAAGAATCAGACGGAGTAAGTATTTTGCTGGCTGGTTTATTGGCACATAGTTTATAGAAGTGTTACCTTCTCAAATAAATAACTGCAGTACACTTGAGGTTTTTTTCTCTGTAAAAATGAGAAATAAGTATTATTATACTTCTCTTGATGTAGTTAAACTTATACCCTGTACACCCACCAGGCATGTGCATTTTTATCGCAGTGTAAAATTTTATCTGAGTTCATAAAGAAACTGGATTTTTTTAACGGGATTAATAAAGAAACTGGATTTTTTTGAACAACGACAAAAAAAACCGTCAAATCTTGATTTCTGTTGATATTTTACGTATTGCATATCTTGCATGCATTAGAAAAATATATAATCATACCCAGTCGAATCAAACACCTCGTCACATTACGATTTCTGCTCAATTTGACGTTATATTGTTTACAAGAGCTGCCAGATATCACCGTTTTTTGTCTATTTACAAATAAATGGTCACATTTTCATTTCTTTTCTTTACAACGAGTTATGGATCGCTAATTTTAATACATTCATGTACTGTGTTTATGATTTTTTAATGAAATCGAATGAAAATTGAAAATTGAAAGAGTAAAGAAAAAAAGTTTAAATGCTACAATTCTTTAACATTTACAATGCATGTATATGCTTTGAAGTGTAGTACCAGATATATGCGTTTATTTTTGTTCATATACTTTTTCTCTAGTAAATTTGCAAAAATATTTCAAGAGAATCATACTTGAGAAAAAATGTACAAGAATTTAACAAAATTTGGGACATAAGTTTTCATGTTGTGCGCGATTAAAGCGACTTTCAGCTTTTTCACAAGTTAAATATGTTATTTTTAGATATATCGTTTCATGAAATTGTCAAATGAAAAGAATTAGGGTGGGCAATGAAATTCACAGACGACAAAATGCTTGTTAAACAAAAATGAAACCCCGCAGCACCTCTAATCTACCGATGCACACTCTATAATTAAATTAGTAAGTCAGACGATTCGATCGTTTCCCGTTAACGAAAGTCACTTACACGCCAAAAAAACCTCGGGACGCTGTTTTGAAAAAAGCTTAACAGTAATATGATGAACTTTTTAATATAATTACTGAAAAAAACATAGAATAGTTTTTCCAACAGAAAATAAAAGGCTGATTTAATGGCTGATTTTCATTATTTAGCACCATATGTTTCTACTGCGTGACTACCGTGACTAAGGGCGAATTTTGCATATTTTGACCACTTTTCTTTGGTAATTTAAATAGTTTGAATTACTTTCCTTGTTCACATCACAATATTTTACCAAACAAGAATGGGAGAGGACACAAGACCAATATAAACGGGGGCGTAACAAACTGTTTATAATAAAAAAAAACTTAAGTAGGTAAAACCATCATTGTGAAACATAAGCCAATAAAAGTAAAGTCTAGCTTCATATATCGCTTGTTTTTATGCTTCCTTGAAAAGCCATCATTCCCTTCCATTTAAAATAAATGAAATGTGAGACTGAAAATGGTATGTGTACTTTTATTGGTTCCGAGGTGTCTAAGTTTTATTGGCTAACAGCACAACGACGTTTCATATAAGACTGTGAAAACGATATTTGAAGTCATATTCGCCAATTGAAATTGTAACAATTTCATGGTAATGCTGATATTGTGACTATAAACTGCGCCTGGTATGTAAACATTTAGTTCATTTCATTTTTGAAGTTTAAAATTCAAGGGGTTAAACAGTTAACATAATTAGTGCTAGTTAACACGATATGGGACCGTACACCGGATATAATCGTGTTTTTGGGAGAAAAAATGAATTCGGAGAAAATTACCAGAGGTAAGAAAATTCGGATTTTCAGCTCATATTACACTAATTCGAACCTGGTTTGATTTTATATTTCCCTAAACACATGTCAGAAATGAAAAACGTAACATTATCAGAAATAAAGGAGTTGATACATGTTTTGTAAAGACCTCTTTTTGTTCATGGGAGAAATTATTTCGAGGGCCCAACCAATCTAGCTTTTTTTAGTTTTGTCCAAAAACGACAGTTTTCTTCAAAACTCTCCTTATGTACTCACATTTAAATTTTTAGTGAGACAGACTTACATCGCCAAATAATTCTTAAGTCTAGTCAAGGGGGAGGGACTGTTGGATGAGGGATGGATTTCTTATGATAACTTGTCAGGAGTTATTGTGATAACTGTCACGAAGTTCGATGGAAAACTTTTGTATATACTACAAAAATGATAATTTTCATCTTTGAAAAGTGAGGTTTAGATGCTAAATTAAACTTTAAGGTAGAACGCGACACTTTGCAAACTTTCGAGTAGCGTCTTTAAAATCGGCATGCAGACCAGATTATTGATTACATTGCGTTGATGTTATTCCGATAGTTTCAGCCAGTTTTTGTACACAAGACGTCAAAGTTGACTATCAAAGACCGTTTTTGAACATGACGTCGTTGCGTATCCTTGGCAACTGTTACGGTTATCACAACGCCATAGGCGGAAAAAATATTTTAAATTCTAAAGCATTCGACCGAAATAATTCTTTCCTTTAAGCTGATATAAAATTTATTTTTTTACGCCGAAAAATGTTTAAAAATGGAAAGAAAACTCTCAATTTTGTGCAAAATTTGATGTTCGGTTTAGGCAGATTTTTCGGCTTAAAGCGGCTTTTTAAATATTCCTAAAATAGAATTTTGATTTCTTTCTTTAACCCCCTTTAAAATAATGTATACTCAGTCTAACTGACTAAAACGATAGGGGCTCACCTACTTAATTCTTTTGGTACACGTGATTTTATCCCCAACCTTTTGGATAAAAGTCACGCTATCTATCTTGAATATTTAGACGCCCATACGGGTTCGAGCGAACTAAGTTTGACTGTATATTTTTGTTATCAAGTACATCAGAAGAAGCAGAATTTCCGTGAACGAAATCCGCCTACGCAAAAAATTTACACAATTGTACGAGAAGTGGGGAAATAAGGAATAATATACACTCAAAATATATACACTTATATTTCACTCTTTATGAGATTGAACCAACGAACTTCAATCGTTTGTACCATGTGATTTCAGGGCGTACCTTAGCTTATTTTTAGTATAGTCCATTGGGCCAAAGTGTCGTTACTACCAGGTGAAATCTAAGCGATGAAATGCCATTTTAATCTTATCTCTATCAAAAGTTATGAAAATAATATCAAGTATTGAAATGACAGATATTTGCATGAAGTCTGACGAGAAGATTGCTTTTATTAAATAATTTAAAAGTTATTTACCATTAGGAAAACAAAATAAAGCCAGATACAAGATGGTTAAGTTTTTTTCTTTATCAATATACCTGAACATGAGATATAATCGAGGTGAAATATTGCTTCAAAAAGTATTTACAATTAGAAAAACAAAACATAGCCAGATTGTAGTCACGATGTTTAAAACATTTTTTGTTTTGTTATTTTAACATACCTAAACATGAGATACAATCAAGGAAAATATCGCTTTTAAAACGATCTGTATGACCATAAAACAAACACGAAAGTGTAACATAATCTATAGCATCATAACCACACCTTACATTTATCAATACGCGATCATTTAGGTCCCTAAAATAAATATTTTAGAAATGCATTATGTCAATAGTAGAGAACAATTGTTTTACAATTTTCTTTAACTTTACTCCGTTATTTCTTAGTTATATCATTACACAGTTAAATTAAGTGTTACTAGTCCGACAGAATTTTTGCAAAACCTTAGAAAAAAGATAGATAACATAGGTTTTTATATCGTATACAAATATTTACAAATAAACAGGATATTTACGGTTTATTTAAAGCACGAGTGAAACTATATTTTAGTTTTGTAAAAGTTCAAAATGAGAACAAGAGAAGATAGAAGATTCTCTTATATGGTTATACACTGTTCTTATTATAATTCTATCTCTATTATGTATGTATGTCTGTATGTATGTATGTATGTATGTATGTATGTATGTATGTATGTATGTATGTATGTATGTATGTGTATGTATGTATGTGTGTATGCGTGTATGTATGTATGTATGTATGTATGTATGTATGTATGTATGTATGTATGTATGTATGTATGTATGCGTGTGTGTGTGTGTGTGTGTGTGTGTGCGTGCGTGCGTGCGTGTGCGTGCGTGCGTGCGTGTATAGATAAGACTATGATAAAAACATAATAGATGCAATTGTTTGCAGAAATATGCAATTCATTTCTATAGTCAATGAAATAAGTTTGATAGCTTTCTATACTGATAATTCTTGTAAGTCTTCGTTTTTAAGGGACTTAAATTAGATACAAAATGTTTATTTACAACAAAAGTTGACTTTTTGTTTTGTTTGTGATAATAGCTGTGGGCAATTTTTGCTGCTTAGATCGGATTTGTAGGACCCAAACTATTCTACACAATTTGAATTGATTGTAAGATAAAATAAATGTGACAGACTCATACATTGACAAACAACTACAGAAGGCTGACTCGGATTACAGACAAAACTTACAGACAAGACATAAATTTATACATAAAGTTCAGCGAGGTTTATAAGCATTATAACATTAACTATTCAAAGTATAGGCCCACTTCATCTGAAAGAAAATGGGAATTTTCAAAATAAAATATCATATCTTTACATTTTGTACGTCACTTCGTGGGCTCTGTAGAGACATTTTGTTTTTTTAAGTTTTAAAAATGCTACTCCTTAATAAAATCCGCAAAGGGTGAAATAAATTGAATTTGTATGGTAATTCAAACATTACCTACTTAAAAGATGGATTATTTGTATTATATTGAATAAACACAATAGAAAATTTCTCGCTAAAATTCCTCCCGGTTGATATACCCAATGATTGTATTGTATTTTCTCTAGTACATGTATATGCCTTACTTATATTTGATTGAATAACAATATATTTGACAAAGGTTACATCGTACGCATACCTTTGTAATCAATAAGCAGCTACGCAACTATAGATCGATCTACATCAAAATTCTTTATTTTTTACGTCATTTTTTTAAATTTTACTTTCTCAAAACTCTTTTCATTAAATACGCCCGTGCTTATTAGCATATCGGCAAGTACGCCACCGGATTTCCTAATTTAAATAATTGTTGGATCCAATATGAACAATGTTACTTAATAATTTTTTAGATGTACTGATCAGATTTTATCAAGTCACTAACAAAGTGTTATGTCTGTGACTTTAATTTGGATACATAACGATAATTGTAATGATATCATGTAAACAAGAAGCGCCGCCCCAGCCAACATTCTATATCGGCCCGACATCAAACCGACATGCTTTTCTATGACGGCCCGATGTCGGGTTTAACCTCGGCTGCAAATAGGAATGATGTTGGCCCGACATCGGCAGCACAATATCGGGCCGATATCTTAACGACATAGGCCCGATATTTCTTGCCGACATCGGGCCTACATCAAAACAAAAGCGGTGCGATGCCAGCCAACAGTAGATATATCGACCAGGTATGATTCTTATGCTAGCATGTTGATACATCTAGCAACAAGCATTTGTCATCTCCTGCAAACACACAAAATAAAAGATAATTATTTAACAAAATATAAGATAATAAAAGCGAATATTTAATTTTAATCACTACACTGATAATTCATGTCGCGAAATCATGTGTCAAATATTTTCAAACATAATTTTACATTTAAAAAAGAGACAAACAGATAAATTGTATTTTTCCAATAATTCTAAGTGTAAAAATCAAATTATTTACAGCGTTTACACATTTGTTGAATCATCATTACATTAAAAAAAACATGCTTTTCATCACCTTCCTTTGTTAGCTTTTCTTTTTGGCGCTTAATCTGTTCTATAGGACTCCAGTGAATTTTTGTAAGCCTTTCATTTAAAATATGACAAAAGAGTGATATTATGTAGTCAAAATATAAATATTGAATTTAATTACAAACCACATATCATTTCCAAGCTCAACTATGATTATTTAAGAAATTAATATCAAACTGTACAATTATTTGCTGCATGAAAATCAATTTAACAGAAAACGCAATATCGTACCGACGTCAATCCGATATACAAAATAGTTGCATTGATAGGTCATGTAGGCCCGACGCAGGCCCGATATATCTTTTTTGATGTAACAGGAAATGTGGTTAGTGTGGTTCTAGTAATTGAAATCATACACAGGACAATTTATTCACATTATTAAGTAAACAATGCCATTGCATTTAGAATTTTTCATAATACTCAATATGTCGGTACTGTAGCGGCCCGACGTCGGCCGATAGTCGGCATATTTTGCCGACATACCGACATTAATACTATGTCGGCCCGATATGGTCATGCTGGCTGGGGCAATGCGACGAAAACCAGGTTTTCAACCACCATGTATAGATGTGACAGGAATTAATAATAAAATATGGCAGTGAAGAAAATAATGATGCTGTTTTTTGTACCAACACAGAAAATTGGTTTCACTAGTTCAAAATAAAAATATACCAGATATCTAGGTGTCAATGCCAGGCTGTATTTTCATGCAAGCTACACACATGCCAAGTTAAGTATCAAAGGTCAAAGTTTACTGAACCTTTACGTTGCCCCATATATATTTAAGTAGCAATCCCAAGCTGCAATAGGTCACAGCAAACTAGTTATTATGTGGAATCT